AAAAAGAAATCAATCTTATTCTCCTTCATATCCTACTTATGTGACCCTCAATCTTTCTGTGTCCATCTTGCATTTCCAGAAAAAATATATTTTTACTTTTACTGCACAAATTATTCTTCTTGAAGAAAGAGCTTATCACTTACATTTTTAGAATTATATCAGTCTATGCAGATTCTGCAAGGCAACAGTTTACTGTGAGGTTGGTTGCTCACTGTAGCAGGCAGCCCGGAGTTGTTCTGGCATCTCCAGATTTGGAAACATTTGAAGCTCAAACGCTCCTGAGCAGCCTGCTCTGCTTCAGCTGACCCATCTCTGAGCAGAAGGATCAGAAGGTCTGACCCATCTCCAGAATGTCTGCCAGCCTCAGCCACTCTGATTCTAAACACTCAAAGTACAGTGGACAGATGTTGGACAAAGAGCGCCTGAACATTTGGCAGATGCTGCATCTGTGTGGCTGCATAGAAACTCTCCACCTGAAAGCAGCCCTAAAACAAAAATATGAGGTGGTCTCAACAGGTGGTAAAGACATAAGTGTTACAACTCAAGGCTGCCTGGCACAAGGTGAGAAATCTAAACTGCTGTATTATTTCTAGAATATAAAATTGTAAATCTGAAAACAAAAAATGTCCTGCTGATTATTATCTCTGTAATGATGGATTGATCATAAGTTAAGAATCTCAATTTCTTTGTTGTTCTAGCTTCAAAGATTTATTTAATACTCTCTGAATAATGGTAACTATGACAAGCTAATTATTGTGTATAGAGATCTGACTGTTATTTCCAAGTTCATGAGTTTATGTCTATATCAGTAATGAAAATTATCCCATTCTTCAAACCTAAGGAAAGTGCCATGGGTTACATCATTATCATTATGCTCATCCTGTCTTTCGCCCTTCCTATCGCAGTATGGCCTGGGAAAGCTCCAGACCACCATCTGTGTATCCTTTCTGCATAGTCAGCCAATAAAAGGTACAGGGAGCCACTGTCTTTTCCCTGGGGCCTGAGATGAAGTGCTCGGTGTAGCAGAATACAGAGGCCATGTAACCACACTTCTCCACTCTCTTACTCTGATGGACCAGGAAATCAGGACAAGGCAGTAAGAGCACTCTACACATTTTTCACTCAGTTCTATCTGTTTGGCAGTCTCTTCATTTAATTAAAAGATTTTGACCATTTATTAGAACGTCCTCCATTTTTTCCTGAGAAGAAAAGTTCCCTGGACGGCTCCAGTGGGACTCTTCACTCAAAGCAGCGTGGTTCAGGCCTCATATCAGGGCTACTAAGTAAGTAGTAAAATATAATTGCCTAAAAAAACTCAGAGGAAATGCAGCTCAGACAAAATATAGATGAATGTCAGTAATTTGGAAATCAAACTAGCTTTTATCTTGTTTTTCTTTTTCATGCATATTTGAAGAACAGCATCTTTCAGCTAAATGTGACACCATGATTCAGTAAAAATAAAATAAAATTAAAATTTACTCAAACTTGAGCATATTACTGTGCAGGTACTGTATATAGCTATGTACATGATAATTTACTGTTGGTTTATGTGATATCCTCACTGCAAAAGAATCTGTCTCAACCTATATAAAAACATAAGAAGGTAATTCTAGCACTATGAATTTCTGGAGCAGAGTCAGAGGTCAGAATCTCCTTCTTTGACTTTCTGCCCATGCTGCTTTTGATGCCGAGGGATGTGTATGAATGGGCTTTTCGTTATTTGCTTTAAGTGATGCAGATGTCCATTCATAGAATAGTAACGAAAGATCATTTTCATACTATTCTCAAGTGCTGATGGAAATCTCAAGTTCACAGATATATTCAATATCTTGTCATTTATAAGAGAGAAAACAGCAGTATATTTCTCAGTTTAAAAAGCTCCTTTCATGTCATCTGCTCTAGCACATCTTGTTAATGTACAGAATGAAGAATTTCCTTGTAACAGAAGGAAGAAAGAGATACTCTAAAGAGACTTTTTGAAGTCACTGTCAAACAGTGAAGCTGCACATTCACACAAAAAAACCTGTTGTTAACCTGTAAGAGGAAGTCCCACTGGGGCTACTTAATTGTGTAAGGAAGTCAGAAAAATTTTGCTACAAAAGTGCAACTGAGAATAAAGGAATGAGACTCACCCACCCATCTCTCAATAAAAAAGCACAATAAAAATATGCAGTAAGAAACACCAAGTCAGATGCTTTTTTTAAGAAGGCATCGTTCCATGAGAATCTGATCCATTCCCTTTAACTACAAAAATAACATTACTTCAACCTAATTTCTAAATAAAGGGAGGAAGGAAGTAAAATTATAAATCCATAGTCAAAATATTACACAATTTGAAATTATTAAATTTTAATCCTGAGAGAGCCCAGAGAGAATTAAAAAGCAACTTCTTTAAGACATTTCTGTGTTCCTGAAAATGGATTAAAGTCAGCACATACAGTATGAGGTCTTCATGTGGCAGAGTTTAGTGGCACCAGTGTACAAATTCATCTATGGAAAGATCATGCTTTTACACATTCTAACATTCTAGATTGCTCTCTTACTGCAATTTTTCATCATAGACATAAACACTGTATATCACAAATTAAATTATGGGTTTATAAATGTCTTATCAAAGTTTTCTTTTGATTTTTACTTTTCAAGAAAATTACAGGAAAGCATAATTTTTAACTCACAATAAAATGGTGCTTTCTCAGGAGAAATGAGCATCCCTTCCAGTGCCTGATTTGAAAGTCCACAAAAGTCAGTAAAGAGAATCCCAGTGAAGTGTAAAAGAGACATCAGTGAACTTTAAATCAAGCCTTAGGTTAATCACAGTAGGATATGCATTTAAATTAATTTTATAGGTATTTGCTAAACAATTATCTCTTACTGATTATTTTTTTCCATTGCATTTTATTTTGTTCTCAGACTGCCGTTCACATCAGTGGGAGTTCTGTACATAAATCTAGCAGGACATGAGTTCTCCCCCTACTTTTTGAGTCGGTGTTCATCAGATAAGGCTTCACATTTTTTTTTCTGTCTCAAATCACAAGTGCCATCCTATAGCTTAGTTCAGTTCTTGTCTAGCCTTATATCCTGAAGTAATCCACAGCTTTCTCTCCTCCCACTCATGTCTTGATGTCTGGACAATGCTCATGTGTCATAAGACCATTCCTTTGGCACCCCAGTGCATAGGAGACCAGCACAGCATGATCAAAAGGGACTGGAAATGCACTCTCATCAGTTTTCTTTGCCATCATTTTCCTTTTGGCAGTCTCACTCCAAGGTAAGCTTAGTCTGTTTCAAAATCTTGTGTGATTAGCATCTCTTTTAAGTTAAGAGTCCTATTTAAGGCAAGATTGTCATAGTGGGTGGTCACTCAATAATTTCTGTTTTGTGATGCTATGAGCTACATTTTTATTTACCATATTTATGAATGTCGAACACTTTCTTAAATCCCTGTTTGGGACCACATCAGACTAAAGAGTGCAAAATAAGCTTTAAAAAAATGTATTCTTGTCATACCAGCTGACAAGAAGTAATATAAAGCAGGTGTCATAGCCTCCCTAATTAAGAATAAAGAATTGAGATAAAAAGACATGAGAAAAGTGGTTTCTCCAGTGTTGGATATCCAGGTAGACCAGGTATCGTTAATATGTGACAGATACAAAATTATTCTAATAACAAATTGTCCTATTCTTTGATACCACAAAAATAAATACCCCTAGACATGCTGAAATCCCAGTGGGGATTTGGTGTGCATGCAAGTCCTCGTCCACTCATGCCTAGATGCATTCCTGATCTCAGTGGCATCTTTGTGTAAATCAAGACCTCCTATCACACAGCTTTGGGTGTGCACACAGCAGTGTCTGGGGCACTGGGGCACAAGAGACCATTCCAAGAAGCATATTTCTGTGTGAGTTGATAAAGGAAACAGAAAGGGCCCCTGCCACCAAAGATCTGGCTATGAGGAAAAAATGTTTTTGTAAGCTAACAAGAGCATATAGTTAAGGCAGCCAATCAGTCAGCTGTTCCCAAAGTAAATAAGATTCATATTTCACATTTGTACTAACACTCATCTGCAGCTTCTTCCTTATCTTCCATTTCTGACCTACTCTCACCTCCCTACAGTTTGAGAGTTCAGGGCTACTGAATAATTGAAAGTGTAGACTTCCAATTAGGTGAGCCTGAGAGTGAACTGAGTGTTGTCTTCCATTCTCTCTGTGTTTGAATTAAAAAATACAGTTTCACACACACACACACACACACACAAAAAATCTACCCAAAAATAACAACTTTATTTTATTGCTCAAAAGGTGTTCTTAGTCAACACCTGCATAAAATACAAACTGTTATATGAACACTTTTTAAGGTATTTTAATTTTCTCCCTTCAAAACAAAAGTTCACATTAGAATGTAGAAAGATTCAAAGTAAACTTAGAGGCCATGGCAGGTGGCCTCTAAGTTTATCACAATGGGTGTATATTTTTGCTGTTGCAACCAAAAACCATTTTTTTTCTTTTTTCTTTATTTTTAATAGACTTTTCTAACCATATAATGTCTTTATTGCTATATTTTTCTGTTTCTGCCCTCTTTTATATTTTTTGAGTTTAAAATTATGAGATCAAGAAAGTAAAAAAAACCCAGAGCATGTGTATATATAAACACAAATATATATATGCCCAAATCCATACATATATACAGATGTATGTAATAGCATTTTCTTTATTTATGAAACATATCAGAAAACAAAAAGCTTTTTCTCTTCTGAAATCAACCTGCATGAGATACACTTTTTTTTCCCCCATAAAAACACTGAAAAATTGACAATCCAAAAATTCAGCATTGGATGCAAGAATCAACTTGTCATGTTTAATGTTACTGTTACTTTCTCAATATATTAAGTAACCGAGTTTAACTTATGGTCCTAAGGACAGGTGCATCGCAGCATGTTGAAAGCCTTTGAGTTTCTGAAAGTTCCTGACAGCCTTCAGAGAGCACAAAATCCTTGAATAGGCTTCTGAGTTAAATAATTTTTTCTTACTAGAAGCCGAGTACTGAAAAGATGGAAAGAAAATTTAGAATTTCAGTGTATAAATATGTAATGAGCAGTAGTTAGAGGTTACATAGGTTTAGTGGACTGAATGGTACCAGCTGTCTATCTGGAGGAAACAACCAGAATAGCATTTAGACTGGAACATTTGATGCTCCTTTTAGTTACTCAGTGGCCAAACCCATGAAAAAAAATCTCTGCTTGGAAATTGGTCTTTCAATTTTCTCTTGGAGAAATGATATGTTTTGTCTCCCGTGGGCTGCAAGATCTGTTGCAGTCCTGTATATCCTTAAAAATCTGATCCCAGAGGCATCACAAAGCCACACAGTTTTCTATGGCAAAGGGAACTCAATTTGTTTCCTTGCATAATAAACCATGCTGTCAGGATTTCTGCAGATGTTCCAAGCAAAAAAGGAGAGACTTCACCCCTTTGCCTTGGTATGAGGCCTTCATTCCACTGCTCTGTGTCAATTGATTCTGCACACAAAAGCTCACTAATCCAGTAGAGGTGTTTTGCTCTTCAAGGCATCATCTGTTTGTGCTTGACCAGATCCCAGAATCAGAAGCAGTTATGGTCATGCCATCTCATCTAAAACAGTTTTCACACTAAATTTGAAAGTCAAGCAGTAGAACGAGACTGACAAAGTTCCTGGCAAGAAATTGATTTCATGACCCTTGGGGAGAAACAGATTGAGACGTCAGCAGGATGCAAGGGACCTCATGGGAAAAGCCATTGGAGTCTGTGGGAGGTGTCTGCCACTCTGACTTATCTTTGCAGCTCATCATCCTGTGTGAGTGCTACAGATAATGTTAATGAAAGTGAACCCACTTATGGAATGGTTATCTTGAGCACAGCTTGGGCAGAATGTAAAACTTCATGTAAGTGACAATATTGTGAAATGCAAGGAAAAGTCACTCACGTTAACTTCAGTGAAGGATCTGAATATCCCAGCAGGTGAACTGGAGAAAGAGGAGGAGAAAAAAAATAAAGCTGATGGATTTGTTTTAACTTTAAGCTCTGTTTTGGCTGGAATAAAAGAAAACAACTTCTTTAATTTGATATGTAATTAAAAGTACACTTCTTTCTAACATTACTAAATTCCAGAGTTCCAGCACAGACAGCATAATGAAGATAGCCAGGGACAAAGCAGGCAGCTCATTGGGAGACACTATGGAAATAAAATGTCTGTCTCTTGCCCATGACATTAAGCAGTGTTCCAAAAGGCTTCCTGACAGTTTCTTCATTGGCCTTACCTTGAGTTGCCTTGCTCTCAGCAAATCTCATAACATTTTTTGCTTTGCCAGGCACTGAATGCTATGCTTATGTCTCTTACAAGACATAATTTTTTCCTCCTCCTTTTTTCCAGCTTACAACCAAAATGTAATGAAAATATCTAGATTCATTTATGCTTGCTTTTGTCACCTGCTGCTTGTGCCCTCTCTTTGCCCACAGTGTAACACATTGCTCAGATGTAATTGCAGCCACAGGCTCTGTGAGTAAAATGATGAAGGTGAGCCCAGGGGATTCACAAGGCTGTTCTCTGAATGTGTTGCAAACCTAAAGCAAGTATCTCTGTTAGAAACCACATCAGCTTTCTCTCTGTAATAGCTAATTGCATCTTATACCCTTTTAGATTGCAGCAAAAGTTTGAAATAGATCCCCAGGGGTTTTTTTTTCCCAGTTCTACCATACATGTATTTTTTTTCTTCTGGATATTTTCTTTTTATTTTCTACTGGTAGTTAATAAAAGAAATAAAGCACTGTAAAGTGAACTTCCATTCCAAGAGAATATTACATTGGAAGGAAAGACATTGAAAGAAGGGGTTCAGCAGAGCAGCTGGCATTTTCAGATCTGCCTAAGGGCTAATCCCTGAAAGTGACAGAGAACCTTAGAAATAGATATAGGTGGAGTTAGGGTTCAAAATTAAAACTTGCATTCAAAATATCCTCAGCACAATCCTACCTCAAAGGAAAGTCCATACAACCCTTTCTCTAGGCACCTGCAGCTCTGTTTCTATGCCAAATCCACTTGGCCTGTGCAGCAAGGTGGGCAGCTCCTCCTTGAGTCCCATCGTGAGCCCAAAACCCTTGGAGAGGAGTCTGACAGGGACTTGCAGAGCAAGCTCTACACAAAGGAACAGGATGGGTCCCTCACAAAATATGCCTGCAGTGGTTTTCTTTTGAAAACAACTGCTGGAGCAGCAATTAAGCAGTAAAAGAACCAGTGTCTTTAAGAATGGTTAGACGTTTATGCAGAAATTGGGAGCCTTTGGTGTTCTGTGGCAGTCCAGCCTGCATCTACCACATTTTAGCAACCTTGACTGAGGAGGGCAACATGCTCCCCACTGCCAGAAAGAGCTGTGCCTCCTCACAGAGGAGGAAATAAAAATTCTGGAGTAGAATAAATAAGTGTGGGATCTCAGCACCTCAGGACTGAGGTGCCGAGTCACCGAGACCACCCTTGGGGGGCTCGGGAGTCCTGGAATGTTGCCAGAAGTGTCTGGTGGCTGGACTTTGATCCTACACGGGAGACGACACCTGTATGAGGATAGGAGGACTCCACCGGGGTGAATGGTGAAGGATTAGTTAATTAGAGGGTGAGACACAGGGTTTAGGATTTATGTACAGGGGGGTTTAGAGAAGTAAGATGGAGGAATTGGGGCGTGTCCTGTCCTTCTTCTTCTTCTTCTTCTTCTCCATCTTTTGTGGTGATGGTGGCACTTTGGGATTGGCCATTACTGAAAGTGCACCGGACAATAAGAATAAAAAGGATTGGGGAAAAATGATAAATATTGTACACGTAACAATGGGTATAAAGATAGGTGACTGTCTGGAGGGCTACACAGTGTGCTCATGGCTGGCTGCTGAGCAGACCTCTGTCGGGCTGAAAGAAAATCTTTTAGATAAACAATTAATAAACATAAAGACCGAAAGAAGAACTGAAGCCTCTTCTCGTTCTTTGATACGTGGGCTGCCCCAAGGCCACTCCGGGCCTTTCCAGGCCCTTCAAACAGCCGAAAACCGGACAACAAGTAAATAGAAACAGAGGCAACAGGTGATGCCTATGTTCTCCAGCTGAGAGAAGAACAGCTTCCACTGCTGGAAGGCATGGAGCTCATCTCTTGTTCATCCTCTCAGGATTACTACTGCATATTTAATTCAATGGCTTTTGTCTCACATGCTCATTATTACAATGCTAAAAAATCTATACAGACCAATATCTTCTTTTAAAGTTGTGTTTTCCAGAGCCCATTAAACCAATTTCTGTTTATTGCACCAGCTCTAGTCAGCTAGTGGGGAATTTCCAGAGGAAAAATATGCACAAACCTTGCTATGGAGGGAACCTCTCTTTGCAGGCTTCTGACAGTCTTCTACAAACTGTTTATCAAAAGGATGGCTTTAGTTTCCCAACTAAATTTAGGAAGCTTCTGTAGCAATTTCATTTTTCTGATTAGGAGCAAATTCTTGACTTATTAGGTTTACTGCTTAGTAGTATAATTGTGTTAGCGTCTGGCAAAAAAAATAGTAGCAACAATAACAATAAAAACAACTGTAATAATAATAATAATGGTGAAAAAAGCAGATTGATGCAGGAAAAATATCACCAAAATCACTCATGAAAACCTCTATGCATATGCTCTTAAACCACATTTCAGTAGCAGCCCCAGAAAGAGGCACATGGATTGTTATATAACGGAATTTCTCATAGCATCACCAAATTATACAAATGGTCACAATTCAGATATTATGAGCTTTTAGAGAAACTCCTTCTGTTTATGAACTTCAGACAACACATAACTACCCACACATACTTCCATGTTTCAGCTATTAATTTTCAGACTGAAAGAAAAGAAATGAGTTAAAGAAAAAAAAGAATATTTTCTCCCCTCTCTTGGAACAGAAAATATGAGTAAGAGAGAAGTATAGCTTCGGATCAGAGCATGGGATCTCTACTTCGTATTTGGATTGTGTAGGAATAAGTTAATTTGAGTAAAAGGTAGTCTGGACCACTGCATCTGAAAAGTTTGTAACTGGACCTGGGAACCATACAGAGGCAGCAGATAGAGCAGCATCACTGATGAAAACAGGTGTCTTTAAATATGAGAGATCAACAGATGCAGTGATGTGTTTCAGCCTGTAGAGAAAATAGAGAACTGTTGCTATTCCTGACAAAAAGGGCTTCTTGATTCTTCAGGAGTGCTATTTGTGATGGGAATCTCAGGTCCTGCTGTCAGCTTGTGCAGCGTGCCCATGTGCAGGTGCTGGCAGCAGCAGAGGGGCTGTCCAGGAGGTCTCTGCGAGCCCAGAGCAGGGGCTGTCCGTGGGCACAGAACCAGCTCAGCTGCTGCTGCTGCTGCTCCAAGCTGAGCCCACCAGCACTGCTGGGACTGGGACAGCACATTCGGGAAAGGGTAAAAACACTGCATGGCAGATGTGAGAGAGTTGCCCCCCTGCAGCCCATGCAGGACCACAATGGAGGAAATAATCACACTGCAGCCCATGGAGGACTCCTCAAGGGAGCAGGGTCTGTCAGATCCTGTTATTGCCGCCTTCCCTACGCTCCTTCCCTATTGCTCCTGGTGAGGCATGACAATGTCTGACAGGTTCTGTTCCTGAAGATCTTCATTTTTGTGTTTCTATGAAAAAACTTAAATGATAATAATTTTGAAATTCCTCTGTAGTGTGTTTTTTTTCTTCCTATTCTGAATCATTCAGATTAAATGAGTGATCTACTAATATTTTGACTACTTCACAATGAACTGCAGAATGATAATTTGATTCTTAATTTAAATAGGTATCTAAGTATATTTTCTCTGAACTGTGAAAGACAATTCACCATAATCTTTCTTAATAATATTTTACTTCAAGGAATAGAAGTATGCTGTTATTATCTCTCTCTAGATCAGTTCCATTTTACTTGATGCAATTTTCCTGCATAGTTCTTCAGACTGCTTTATCTCATCCTATAACTAGAAAGATGTTATTTGCATGCCACTACTAACTTCTCCACACTGAGCTGTTCCTTTAAAATTTCACATACATCCACATTTCAGTTATTAATTTTCAGACTGAAAGAAAAGAATTTATTTTACAGTAATTTATTTTTAAATTTGACCATTGCTAAAAATGATGGTTGTTTAAGAATAAAAATCTATTAGGACAATGTGGGAATTAGGACATAAAGCAAACCCCAAGATCCCCACCTCTCTACAGGTTTTATTTCTTGCACAGGATTTCAGGGAGAGCACAAGTATGTAGTTTCTACATGTGATTTGCTTTTTTTCACAGGGATCACAATCCTTTAAAATTATATTTTTTGAGAAGGCAGCTAACAGTTGGTTTTTCTGTCAGGATGGGTGCAGCTGACACTAAATGAATGGAGAGAACTGTAAAACCATGTGTGCTGTTTAGCACAGGTCCTTCTGACTGATCACAGTGTAAGGTTATCTTAGCAAATGTGAACTATCCTGTGCTCTGCATAACAGCTGCAAAGATTTCTCATTTTCTTTTCACATTCTAAAAATCCACCCCCAAATCTCTGAAGTGTTTTCAAACATTTTTTGAGGCATTTACCTGTTGTTCAGAAAAATTAATTTCAAACACCATCTGATTCAATGCCAGTGTCCCCAGCCAGTGTCCTCAAACATCTCAGGAGAATAAGTCAATCATTAAAATGCAATGTCATCTTCACTGTAGCTTAGTAAGTGTGTATTTACAGAAAATGAAATTGTTTCAATAAAAGATACAAAGCCCCTCTCTTTACATCTGGGGATGTGGAAAGCTACAACTCAAGCTGCTGGAATGATCTGGGCACAGTGGGGCTCTTGAATTATAGCTGTGTATATCCTCAGCATATGTCAAAACCACTTGGCTGTGGATAACTGCATGGATGGTTTCATAATCTTGGCTTTCCATCCTGCTCTTGATACAGGACCACCCTGCCTGAGTGTTCAAATAGCTGTAGCAATCTCCTACCTGCAGTCATAAATGTCAATAAACCATGTCCAGCCCATCCTGCACAGCTGAATGACTTCTTGTTCCCACTGCATTCATAGCTGGATAGCTAAGAAGCTCAGATGGGCAGATGCCATATTTTAGGTAAACATCTTTTGTACATAACTTCAAGGGATCTCAGTCATAATTATCAAGACCTCCCAAAAGCAGCAATATTAAAAGCTTAACACCTGTCTCTTAAACCTGACCAGAGTCAGCAAAAAAGGATCTGAAAAATTTTGTGAACAGCTGTTGAGGCTAAGTCCACTGACAATTCCTGAGAACAGAATCAGGAAAGAAGACATGTGAAAATATCAAATAAACTAGGAATGTAAGCATATCCTTAGAAAAATGGGCTACAGAAAACAATTACCATGAAAACCCTTATACAACAGGAAGAGATGAAGTTATATTATTACTAAAGAGTAAAAATGTGTGACATACAGTCAGTTAAAACCATTACAATAAAACTTCTCCCAGAACCACATAAATCTGAGTACCATACCATACAAGATTACTTCTCATTACAGCCTGTTAAATGTGGGAAAGAGCCAGAATGTGGGAATTGAATACTTCGTATAGACATACATCTAAAAAGCAGGCAGATTATCAGTAAGACCTCAGCCACCTGTTACTAATTATTTTAGCTTCAGTTTCTTAAGTAAACACAGGAGCAGCAAAGCTAATCACTTGAGAAAAAGTAATGCTCAAGCAGACTGTGGAAAAAACCCTTATCCATTACACTTCCCTATAACATCTATCCTGAGAGATAATCGGTTTTGAATGGAACAATTAATGAGGTCTTTTCATACCAAGGGAAATTACACCATAACGAGGTTTAATGTGTTAGAAATGAGGTGGAATTTATTAAAAATAAATAAAAGCCTTATCCAAGGTGAAAGGTAGTATGCTGGATTGTTAGGGATGCTGTGCTTTGAAGGGCATTCTCACCACAAATTGTTAGCAATCAAGCAAAACAAATGGAATAGATATCTGGTGGGAAGTACGTAGATAAAGAAAGCTGACAAAAACACCCTCACCCCAAACTATAGGTTTTAAACACTAAACCAACTGCCTTATAGACCCTCATATATTTTAAAACTCTATGTAGTGCCTCAGGCTTACATACCAGCCTACTGGGAGAAACAGGAGCTTTGCCCCTGTGCATCACTCATTTGAGCTGTGCCACATTTCAGGAACACTCTCACTCTCTGACTAAAATGCTAAGCAAGCTAAGTGTGGACACTGTGCCATGAGTGAAGCCAAGGATATTAGCAATGTGTAGAATGTTAATTATGGACTGTGTCCTTTTCCATGCCATCCCCATGTGCAACATGAATACCACCACCCTCTGGCAGAGAGGAAAGTTTTACTAGAGGCTCTGTTTTGCTGCTCCAGAGCAGGTCCCAACAGTTGCTTTGCACTACATCTATCTCATTATATGTATCAGGTCTTTGTGAAGGGTAAAGAAAAGTCATCATGAAAGAACAAAGTACAGAGATGATCAATGAAAATTCAAGGTTAAGTAAAACCAAACCAAACCAAACCCATACAAATGATATTTCAGTACAGACCAGGATAGTGGAATCTTATAATAATGCTCTCAGGGAAATAAGAGACACACAGTCAATGAAATAGAATTGAAATGCTAAAGGTCTGAACACACAGTGGCTGAAATCCATTTTAGTGCACAGCAACCAGGAAAGGCTGATGTTCCAGCAAGCAGGGCACAAGTAAGGTTTAGCTGCTGCTGCAGAGGGGTGAATTTCATTCAGAATGGTTTGGACTTGGGAGCACAGCCAAGACCACTAGAGCATATCTTGATAGAAGAATTTTATTACTCCTCTACTAATGTTCAGCCTCAGCTACCCCGGAAATGAAGAATCTATGGTCTACTCATTATGACTTTAAAAAATATGTATTTTAACAGCTTGAAAAATTCCTGCAGTAATTCTAATGTCAGAATATCTAAAAGCAGTCCTGAGAGGGAACATCAATGTTTAATTCCTATGGGTAAACACATAAAAATCAGGGATTGTCTATTTTATTTTCCCTAAAATAATAGCTTTAGGAATTAGCATAAAATAATATTTAAATCTAGATAAAGGTAATTCTTTGCGCTTCTATGATTCTTAACCACCCTCACAAATCAGTTGGGAAATGTGAAAAAGCCTTCAAGCAGAAGAAAGACATTGAAATGCAGCTGCTCTTAGGCTGGTCTCTGATCATAGCCCCAGCACTGATGCCCCAGAAGCTTTGCTCTGGGGCTGAGGGGACAAGTGAAATCAGCTGAGCACAAACCACAGGGGAAATTATCATAGTCAAACAATAGCCAAAATCCCTGATTAAAATGTACCCATGGACACTAGAGCTTATACTTACATGTCCTAAAAGAGGGTCCTGGGGTATTCAGTAAGCAAAAGTCTTCAGTTTCTTAATTGTGTATTTTATATGAATGCACAAATCTGCAAAGGGGAATTTATAGGAAGATAAATACATTGTGGTGGATGCACACAATACTTTAACTATTTCTTGGGAGTTTTATGGTAAAAACTGATGAAAAGTGTATACAGCCTTAAACTGGGGAGACTTGTAATTAACTGATGTCAATTCCTTGACTTTATGCCCTACATAGTTCATCTTTCAGAAACTCATAAAGAGTTTAAGTTCTTTTTTATTATCAGAGGAAACTGAAATCAAGTTTGAAATGCTTGGGATACTTAAAAGCCTAAGTAGAAATCTGACAAATATTTATTGAACACAGAGTTATCTGTCAGAACTGACTTGTTTCATTAGGTCTGCAGAGTGAAATAAAAACATGTCCACATTTTGTTTGGACAGATTTTTATTATGAAGTGTCTTGTGTCTTGCTCTTGCAACATTCAAGCATTGACACAAAGGAAGAAGAAAGATTTCTGGTAGGGAAAAAAAATCTTCCATACTAAAGAATTAAAAAATTGTAACACAAAACATTAGGTACCATAGTAAAACAAAGAAGGGTAAAACAATTTCATCACCTTTATTTCAGCTGACATGAAAATGCAGAAACTTCCACAGCTCCAATAAATAATTTTCCATACAACATGGCAGAAGCATAAGGGAGTTATAATTTCTCTGTGCAAATTGATAGACTTT